AAAGATAATCAAAACCATTACATGGACATAGTTGATTTTGAAGTGTTTTACGGCTGGACTTTGGAATGAAGTTGCCTACGTATCCCAAAGATGGGAATCAAGCCTTACGTAGTTCGGGGGTTAAGGTACACTTGGGTATTTAACCTCTCCTTTTGCGCTCTAACTTTTGCCAAGGCCGCCCTTCCGGGTTTTCAGCCTTGCGAGCTTTGTTCTTCTTTTTTCTTTCTTTTTTTTTTGATATATTTTTTTGCATTTTTCTTTTTCTTTTCTTTTTGCATTTTTTTTTGTCTCGCTCTAACTTTTGCCTGGGTCGCCCTTTCAGGTTTTCGGCCCAGCGAGCCTCTCAAGGGTAAAAGTGTAGCTTGGTCCATGTCAAATGGTTCTGAGATCTCGAATCTGTCTGAATCCAGGAGAGTGATTGTTGTTCGCTAACAATGCGGGAGTCCATCCCATGGGGGCTGGATTTGCCCCTAGTGTTGTGGATAGGAACTCAGTTGTTCTTCAGCAATACTTTCTTCTTTCTTCTCTTCTAGGGTTTGGCATTCTTGCCAGTCTTCATTGATTTGCAAGACAATCCATCTTCGGCTCTTCAAGCACATCTGGCATTTTTGCCCCTAGTTCCAAGGATACTTCTAATCTAGCTTTGCAAGCTTCTTTTGGCGACATCTGATCTCCTTGATCTGACTTTTCTTGCCCCTAGTTCGATGGCTGCTTTAAATATGGCCACACAGGCCTCCTTTGATGGTTGACCATTGACCATTCTGAATTTAAGTCCAAGGTTTGAAAATGAGGGGTCGAGTCCCGAGGCTGAGAGTGATCCTAGGCTGTACAATCTCAAGAGCGATTCTACACAAGTCTTCGCAAGATCGCGCAAAACATTTTTTTTTTGAAATCTTTTAAGAAAGCGACTAGTCGCTCGCGCTGAAGACAGTGTGGGACCAATCTGGATCAAGCCAGGATCCTTCTCAGTACTCACATTAACAAGCATGATCTCGATCATTAAAGGCTTAGCATACCTCTGTTTCTCTCAAATGATCAAATTTTTGCAAAAACCCGAGGAATTCCTTCCTCTTCGTTTTCACCACAATGTTCAAAAACAGCTTTGAAAAACTTAGGTCAACGCAATGACTTAAAAGCACAGAAAAGCAGGTGAAATGCACTGTCGTTCCATTCGACTTTCTGGCATAACTGGCACAAGGCAGAAGTAAGCACAAAAGCATGAAAAACCACTGTTGTTTCATTCATAACTGTTTGTGTAACTGGCTCCATGGCAGAAACAGACTCAAAAGAAAGCGAAAAGACAAACACAAAACAAAATAGTGATGCCTGAGGTAACACCCCCGGAATCACTTGACTCTAACAAACAGGACTGACTCGATACAACAAGACAGACCCGAAACAAAAAAGGCTAACTCAAAACAAAGAGACAGACTCAAAACAACACAACAAAACTGACCTAAATACCCAAGTCAGAAACTAGCATTCACAAATTCTCAACACAGTGCGTGCCATACGCCACATCTGGAGTAAATCGAGCGCCACCCGCAGCTGGTTCATCCCCCGATCACATATTCACATTATCTCCCAAGTTCACTGATCTAATGACGATAGACTTTGCTGAGTTAGTGCGACGATGACCTTATTGTCAATCAGATCTTGTATTTCGTGGCAAAGACGGAAACAACTATCAGTGACATGGCCGACTTGCTGATGAAAGGCACAGTACTTGGCCGGATCATGGGAGGGAGGAAGTCTATCTGGCAGTGGTCGCGGCTCCAGGGGTTTCAGATCCCCCTCTTTAATCAGAACCCTCAAGGCCGCTGATAGAGACATGTACAGTGGTGCGAACACCCTCTGGCCTCGAGGTGGGTGTTTTGAGGTTTGTGGAGTTTTGCTGGATGCACCAGCAAAGGGATTGGTAGGCGCTGACTGGGTTTGCTGATCTCTTCCGAGCGAGGGTTTAGAGCTGAAAGGAACATTCCTGGTACAACGGCCCTTCTCCTGACTTGCCCCTTGATTTGAACTGCTCTCATTCTGAATGGCGAAAGTGTCATCCACAGTTTTTGCAACAACTGCGAGTACTTGTTGTTTGTTCAGCCCTTCGGCTTTCAAAGCCTCAATATCCCACTGAAGGTGTTCATGGGGACCAATGCCTGCCCCTACCTTGTTCTTACCACTTGCCTCCACTTTGCCAAGGGAGTGGCCGCCTTCCAATGCAACTCGTCCCAAGGTTGGGGAGCCTTTAGACATGAATTCCCTGGTACGTGATGTGGTCGATGATGGGGCCAAAACCCCAAAGGCCAGATCTGCCACAGTTCTCTGAAGGTCTTTAATCATTTTCATCAGCTCAGAAGTAGTGGGTTCGTGGGCTTGAGATGGTTGGGGTTCAGATGCACTCATCATGCATAAGTCCAGGCTCTCTGGGATAAACACATTAGGCTTGGGTAGATGGACTGGGGTGATGTATACGCTGGGATCGTAAGGGACGGCCAGTGTGTAGATTAGATTGAGATGTGGATGAGGTACTTGGTCATTGGGGTCTGAAGGTGGAGCTATCGTCCGATTGTCGATGAGATTTTGGACCTCATGACGAAGGCGGTAGCAACGGTCGGTGCCATGACCGCGCTGCTGATGGTACACACAGTACTTTGAGGGGTTATGTCTGGCTGGGAGTGGGTCAGGAAGAGGTTGAGGATCGAGGGGTTTGAGATGCCCTCTTTCCATCAGGACTTTTAGTGCGCTAGTCAAGCTCATATAGAGGGGGGTGAAAGTTCTGCCCTGAGCCTGGGCTGGGCCGGCTGTTTGTAGGCTTGGATTGGCAAAAGGGTCGGCTGTCGCGACTGTATTGATTTCGGTGGGTTCGGGAATAGTGCTACTACCAGCATTGGTACTCCTTGAAATCACTCTCCTTGTCGGTTCACTTGTTCTGGGAATGATCCTACTGTTGAACGCATTCTCGATCTGAACCCCCAGTTCATGCAAATTTTTGAAAGTGAATAGCGGAGCGACTATCAACTTTTGCAACATATCATGCTCGAGGTTTCGCACCATCATCTGCACTTGATCCCTCTCAGAAGGGCGATCTGTCATCTGTGCTGCCTTTGCCCTCCACCTCGCAACAAATTCCACAAAAGACTCTGTTAGGAGAGGTGTTGATGCTCTCAATTCAAGGACAATATCGACAACATCGTCTTATTTTTATGGGAAATTGATTGCAAGAGCCGCAAGGTTGGCATTAATTGCTGAAGAAGTGTGTTATGTTGAAGTAATCCCAGCTATCCGAAAGTTCTTGAAGGGTACAATTGAGCCATGGTTGGGTGGAACTTTTGATGCGAATGGTTTCTTGTATGATGGAAAGTGGGGTGGGATTGTGACTAAACAGGGATCTGTGGATTCAGGAGCTGATTTCGGGTTTGGAATCTACAATGATCACCATTATCATCTGGGTTACTTTCTATATGCAATTGCAGTGCTTGCAAAGATTGATCCAGTGTGGGGGAGAAGGTATAGGCCTCAAGCATACACGCTTATGGCGGATTTTATGACCTTGGGCAGGCAAGCAAATTCGAATTATACTCGTTTGAGGTGCTTTGATTTGTGGAAATTGCATTCTTGGGCTGGAGGACTGACTGAATTTGCAGATGGGCGAAATCAAGAGAGCACAAGTGAGGCTGTGAACGGGTATTATTCAGCGGCGTTGATGGGGTTAGCTTATGGGGACACCCACCTTGTTGCCATTGGATCGACACTCTCTGCAATGGAGATTCATTCGGCTCAAACATGGTGGCATGTGAGAGAGCAAGATACTTTGTATCCAAAAGATTTTACATTGGAGAATAGAGTGGTGGGAGTTTTGTGGGCTAATAAGAGGGACAGTGGTCTCTGGTTTGCTCCACCTGACTGGAGGGAATGCAGGCTCGGAATTCAGCTACTACCATTATCGCCAATAAGTGAGGTTTTATTCTCTGACGTTGGTTTTGTGAGAGAGCTTGTGGAATGGACATTGCCAGCCTTGGCAAGGGAAGGGGTTGGAGAAGGATGGAAGGGGTTTGTGTATGCCTTGGAAGGGATTTATGACAAAGAGGGTGCTTTGAATAAGATTAGGAACTTGAATGGGTATGATGATGGGAACTCGCTTACAAATCTTTTATGGTGGATTCACAGTAGAGGTGATGAAGAAGAGGAATGTGATGGGGGAGGGAAGTTCTGCTGGTTTGGTCACTACTGTCATTAAAATGATCAATTTTGTTGGTTGTCTAGGTTTGTGTGTATTGAGGGTAGTCTTCAATAAGAGTTTTGAAGTATGATGCTTATTAGTATATCCAAGGTCAAATCATTCTTTTTGAGAATGAATCTGATTGGTTCCTTCGCTTATCTATCCTGACAGTTATCTGTATTTAAATTTGTCCAAGTTTTTTAAATTAAGATGAATCATACGGCATTTCCTTGTGTTTCTGCATCTGACTTTTCAAAACACATGTAGTTAGATATCTGGTTGTTGTCCTACTATAGACGTTATATTATTTATTTGTTCTTTCTTTATATAGTTTGTGCCTTATTTGAATGTGATTCCATAATTTTCTCTGCTGAAGGTTAAATAGCCATACTGAGTCATTGATCCTGTTTGTGTGACAGTTGTCCATCTTTCCACATGAGGGATGACAAACTGAAAACTTGCAGTACTTTGTTGTGTTGTTGTCAGGACTACACCAATGACATCAGGTGGACTCCAAGAAAGAGGGTCGGGTTTGTCTATCAATGGGGGTAGTTTTTTGTCAAATAAACACCGTTGAGTCAATTAGGAATTTGAATTGGTTTGCTTCAAAACTTGTTTCCTAGTCTGGCAGTGGGAATTTATCAAGTGTTAATCAAGAAGACGAATGTCAGGGAGGAGGAAGCTATTGTTTACGTGGTTACTCTTCTTACTCAAGTTATGTTCATTATTTTTTTATACCCTTGTGTTGAAATGGACCTGTATGAGATATAAAATGACTATACATCACATAAGGATTTAGTTATAACTGCACGTATTCTAATTATAATTTGATCCCTTAAATAAAAATCTTACTAAAGGTGAATTATGTGGTGTTCTTACTTGCATAAAGAAGCAACTGGCTCATGGTTACCTCATGTGAGTTACCGTTCAAAACCAAGGTACTCCCTCCCCTCTCTCTCCGTCGGTCTAATTTAAAAGCTGAATAAATTATTTTCTTGTGATAGGCCTTGGTTGCCCACCGTCAGCTGCTATTCAGACCTTCAAAGTGCCACCAGCCACCAAAATGGTTTGAAATTAAGCAATTATGAATGTTGACGTTGGATAAGTTCATCAATCCACTGGCGGTTCCTTCAAATTTACTGAATCTAAAATTTCAAGATGTTTCTGGATTACAATTTGTATAACACTAGGATTCGGTGTATCCAATTTTTCAAATAATGATTGGACTTTACAATCCATAATTGTACAAAGAGGTCTAAATTTTCAAGATGATTATGGGTTACAGTTTGTATAAAACTAGGATTCAGTGTATCCAATTTTTCAAATAATGACTGGACTTTACAATCCATAATTGTACAAAGAGAAAAAAAAAAAACTCAAAACTCAAAACGGAAACACATTTTTTGTGTTTTCATTTTTTGGCCAAATTTATAAACTGAGACCACTGATTTATAAATCAAAAATTTTACCAAACAAGTTTTTATTTGAGTTTTTAAAATTTTTGTAAATATAAACAGAAAACTGAAAACGTAAGTGTTACCAAACGGCACCTTGGTAACTGTTTAGAAAAGTAATAATCTTTAAAATTTAACAAATTTCAGAAAATAAAAACTATATATGTTTCCCTTATTTTAAAATAAGTTTTTTGCTTAATCACCTACCACTAGTTGCACATGGGGTTGTAACGTTGTAACAACCCTCATCACTGATTAGTGCTAATTTATGATTAAGCATGTTAAATGGCTGATTGACTGAAATCCTGAACTGATTGATTGAGTGTATAGCTTAAGTGCATTCTATCTGTTAACTGTTGAATGATCTGTTCATGTTTTATGTTTTAAACTGCCAATTGAAGGCCTTATCGGCGGCCAAATCCGGAACTGATTAGTGTTTTATGCTAGTTAGAATTTATGTGATTTTATGGTATATTTAATTGAAATGTGATTTGGTATGATTAAATTAGATTTAATAATGTTAAATTACATAAGTTTACTTTATTTACCTAATTGCCATTGAGTGGACTTTGCTAGGCCACTACTTCTCTCACCTTTAGCATTGTTTAGCACCATTTCTTCAGCCTTATTCCTAGAGCAAACCGACTAGAGAGAGAGGGAGAGTAGGAGTATGAGAATTGATTTCAACCAAAATTGGCTTGGAGGCTTAGGAGTTTGAAGGATTCCTTGCATATTGAGCTTCTACATTTGAAATTGAAGGTCTAAGGTAGAGGAACCATCTTCTTGAACTTGTATTTAAGTTAGTTCTTGCATGGTTCTTGATATATTGAAGAGTAGAGTCAAGATTTGGCTTATTATGTTGAATTGAAGCTTGTATCATACATGTATGTTCATATTGTTGAGTTTTGAAGTTGTCTCGTGAGGATTTCTTCATGCACGTTCATATTTTTGGTCTTGACCCATGAACTCACCATGTTTTGAAGTTAAACATTGCATTTGATCTTGTTTTGTGGCATTGGTGTTCCTAGGAACCTATGCATGTGTTGAATTTGCATTGTTCTTCATGTTCATGAAAACTTATTTGAATTTGTGTTCAATTGAACTACCTTTGGGCTTTGATTTCTCAAATTGATCTTCAAAACATGTTATACTATGAGTTTACAAGTGTTTTCCAGAAAATTAGCCCAAAAGGATCGATTTTGGTACATTTAAAGTTGATTTTGAGCTTGAAGGTTCAATCTGGAATTTCCAGAATTTGGACTCACGCTCGAGCGGGGAACTCCACGCTCAAGCGTATAACCTGTGTTCATGCAGTCCGCTCGAGCGGGGAAAGTGACGCTC